TGACAAAATGCTCCCTAGTTCATGAAGCTGACTCGTCACTAATGGGTTTCTCCAATTGTTAGAAAAATGTCTCTTATAATTATAAAGTACCTATGCCTTTATGTTTCACTGTTGTTGCTATGATAAGTTTATTATATAAATCTAATTCCTACTTAAAAATAATATGGCTCAATGTGGAGCACAAAGACATAGATTCAGTCTTAGCACTAATACTTATTATCATATTACATCAAAGTACCATTTATTAATGTACTAAACTCTTGATAGTACTGTCTTATTTTCCTTTAAAAATGCCTATAAAGTAGGTGCTATTTTTGCTGTATCTTGCTATGCAGAAACTGAGCCAATAATTATAAAAGTGATGATGATGATAGCATTATTGCTTGTCAACTATGTGGCAGGCACTGTCCTGCCATTACCTATTTAATGCCATTGTTGTCCAGACATTACCTATTTAATGTCTGTCTTAGTCACTTTCCTGTCAGTGAGATACAGTATCCAACACCTGTAACCCAGAAGAGGGGAGGTTTATTTGGGCTCATTACTTTAGGCATGGTGTAGGAAAAAGTCCTCAACCCATGGCAGCCAGAAGCAGAGAGAGCAGGAAGGAGCCAGGGACAAGAATAAATCCTTCCAGGTGATGCTCCCAGTGACCTACCTCCAACCAGTCCTACCTCATAACAGCACATTCAGCTGCTCAACTCATGGATGCATGAATCCACTGTGAGTATAGAACTGTGTGGTCCAATCACCTTCCACACACAGGAGCATTTGGGCACATTTTAGATCTAAACTATAACAATATCGGAAGGAGCTATTTGTTCAAGTTCAGGTCAGATACTAAAAGGCTTCTGGATTTACCCTGTTAAGCCACATTTCTTTGTTAAATGGGGGTAATGTTATCTTCCTCATAAAGTTTTCTGAGACTGAAAAAATAGCCTATGAAAATATTTGGCATCCTTTCTTGAAAAATACTCCCAACATGTCATTTATTCATTTCAAAGATAGTCTTCAAAAGAATCTTTTCTTTCCTCTTTCTCCAGTTTCCTATTCTTTAGGACAAACACTCCCCAGTTCCTTTAAACTTCATTCTTTAGACAAGTATTTTTGAGCTCACTGCCATGTTGGAATTTACATTCTAGAGGAAAAAGGTAACGGACAGTCAACAATAATTTTCTGTATTAATGATAAATGTCATGTTCAAGGGAGGCCAGAGAGAAGAAAATTAAAAATCTGAGAGTGAGTGGTTCATTCTCTATGACTGTGTAACAAATTACCCTAGAACTTAGTAGCCTAAAGCAACAATGATCATGTATTATCGTCTGTGGTTTCTTTTCTACATGACCCTTTCTCCATGATCTGGGCTTCCTTGAAGCCTAGAAGCTGGATTCCAAGAGTAAGTGTCCTGAGAAAGAAACAGTGAACTGGGAGGAGGCAGTAGTGTTTTGTAACCCGATCTTGGAAGTCAGACAGCATCACTCCCAGAAGGTTCTGTTGGTGAAGGCGATTTCAAGTCTCACACAGGTGCAAAGATAAGGAACAGAGACCACATTTCTCAAGGATGGAGCATCAATGTCATGTTGTAAGAAGAACATAGAGGGGGACGTATTGATGCAGCTATCTTTGGCTGTGAAGCATGATGAACAAGGTAGTTTTGTTAATGAGATAGGCTTATTAATAAGGTAACATTTGGATTAAAGATTCAAAGAAGGTGAGAGAGAGTCATTCTGATCATTCAATTTGAGGCGAGAGCCTGTGCAAAGACCCTGGAGGTGGGAATGTACTGGGCAGATCTGGAGGCTACTATGGCCAGCCTACTAATTCTGATTGTTTTTTCCTAACTAATCAATGAGAATAATAGAAAAAGTAGCCTGAGAGATGTGGGGGTTGGAGGACAGATTATGTAAAGCCTTGGACGCCATTGTAAGTACTTTGACTTTTACTCTGAATGACATGGGGAGCCAAACAGAGAGCTTTGAGCAGACTTAAGTTTTAAAAGAATTACTCTGACCACAGTGTGGAGAATAGACTGGTGTAGGGTGGGGCACAAGAAGGGAGATACCTCAAGAGACTTCTCCAGCTAATCCAGAAAGAGAGGTTAGTGTCTCAGACCAACAGGGCAGCAGTAAAGTTGGTGAGCCACGATTGGTTAAAGCCAACAAAACTTCCGAGTGCATTTGATGTGAAGTACGAGAAGTCAGAGATACCTGGGTCCTTGGAAGGAGAGAGTGCCATTTTCTGAAATAGGGAAGGGTAAGTGCTCAATGGCTGTACAGGGACACATCAGACTTCAGCTTTGGAGAATTTGAGACGTTTTTAGATATCTAAGTGGAGTTGTTGAAAGGGTATTTGAATAAATAAATAAAGCATTCCAGAAAGAGGTCTAAAGTGGAAATAAAATTGATGAGCCATAGCGTAAGGATGTTATTTAATTTGTGATCTCAGAAGAAAACACAAAGAGATGTCAGCAGAAGTGATGGGAACCACGGGCTGAGTCCTGAGGTCCCCAAGAAGAGGAGGAGAAAGTGCATCAAAGAGGCAAGAAAGGGTTCTGACAGGTTTTGTTAAATGTTCAGACATTTAGCAAATGTGTGGTCACCGGTAACATATGCAAGAGCCATTTCAGAGGAAAGGGGTGCAGATGGAGAGGAATTGGATAAAGTAAATACAGACCACGCTTTCCATGGATTTTGGTGAAGATGAGTAAAGAAAGAGAACAGTAGCTAGGTGGGCAAAAATCCAAGAGAAGGATTTGTGGTTTTTATTTATTTATTTATTTATTTAATTTTTTAACGTGGAAGAAATGGCAACATGTTTTTAGGCTATTGGGAACAACCCGGTAGAAAGGGAAATGCGGTATTTTTTTTTTTTTTTGTACCGGGGATGGAACTCAGGACCTTGCGCTTTCAAGGCAGGCACTGGAACCACTGAGCTAAATCCCCGGCCCCAGAAATGCAGTATTGTAAGGACATCTTAGAGCGTTGTCCTTGCTTATGCTTTAAGCAAGGACATTTGCTGACCTCCTCCTCTAAGGGTGTATATGGCATGAGGATGTGTGCCCGAGTAACAGATAATAAGAGAAAGGAAGAGACCACCAGGCCACTGCTTCTTCTAAGCTGCCTTTCAGCGACTCTTCCTCACTCTCCTCAGTGGGGTCTCCCCATTTGGACCTCAGGGGCTGCCTGGGCCTTTTCTCCAGTGTAAAAGAATCCTAAATGGAAACGAGTAAGAACCACCTTTCAGCTCCGAGCGTCCCATTATGAGCCCCCTTCCTTCTGACTCTCCGAGCTGTGCCAGCTTGGCCTGCAAGTCATGAAGGATCACTGAGCAAAGGCGGAAGTGTCAGCAGGCCGCCACTGATGCCTTCTGCCACCACCTGACACACAGACTGACACACACCGTCTGGACGAGTCGCTGTTCATTTAGGGAGAGCATCTCAAAGAACAGTGACCTGCCAAAAGGAACACCGGCCTAGTCAATGAACAGATCCATTTCCCCCTTAATTTCACAAGGGACCTATCGGGGACAGTGGCAAGGAAATCATGAAAAACAAATTCCTAGATTTGTTCTTTCTGTTGACTGTGGAAATGACCTTGGATTGCCCTTCATTCTCCGTCTCCTTACACCACAGTGCTGCAGAGTTCCCTAAGGTTATCACACAGTATTAGGATACTGGAGGACATCCTGCGTTCCCCATGGACCCATCCTTTTCTGTTTCACTCCTGTTACAAATAGGCTTTCAGGCTTAATGCTAAGAAAAATTAAGCTCTGAAATGGTAAAGCCACTTGCTCTGTTTGTGTAAGTGATGGTTTTGTGTGTAGCTCGGGGGATTTGTCAAAAGCATGCTACTTACTGAAATGAAATTAAAACCAACTTTTCCAGCTCATTAAGAAGGATTTGGGAGAGAGGGGAGGTACAAACAATGCTGATTTTGTCTTTCCAGCCTGACTGTTTTGTGCCCTGTTCTGTAATTGGTAAGAACACTAGATGGATTGTAAGGTTTGGATCTGTAGGACAAAGTCATGGAAGTCTTTTAGTTTCAAGCAGCATCTCAAATGTTTAATAATAACATCTGATAAGGAAATTGAGTTCTTAGGACAAGAGTATAGTGTGAAAATATCGAGAATTAATCCAGAGATGAGTGTAGTAGAGTGTGAAATGCCTTTGCCCTGGTTCCCTCTTTCCTCTGCTAGGATTGTCATGAGCTAAGCATCAGAGAGCACACTCATGATGGAAGAGGTGCCATGAACAGCCAGCATTATTAACGATGCTGGCACCCTCCCCTCCCACTTGCCCCTGTCTGCACCTCTGCATCCCCTCTGTTGCCTTGACCCCTCACTCCTTGCACTTGCCCATGAAGTGCGCTCTGTATTTAAAGACTGCCTTGCACAGAAGCCTGTTATCCACATGAGCAGCCTGAGTTCCAGTGTCCCGCACCCTGGCTGGAGTGGGTACTCTGATTCGGTGTTATGTTTCTATGACCAGTTTGATTTATGTCTTCCCTGTTACACTGGGCCTTGTATTTTCCTTCATAGCCACAGACTTCGCCGCCCCTGATTAGTGGCCATGTGGTTCTTCATCAGGCTGGCTTGGACTTTACAAGGTGTTAGAGTTTTTAAATGAGCTCATAGGGTCCCTCACACTTGAGTTTATACCAAAGAGGTTATGGAATGATTAACTTAATAGGTGCTGTTTATCCCCAAAGATGACTGGTTTTATTCATGCTTCAGCTGAGTGTTGGTGGATAACAAACAATTCTTTGTAAATTGTGATTGCAGACCCATGTGATTTTATGGCTTTTTTCTGCTGTATAAATGATTGGGTAGCTCATTAAGTTCGCTGTGTTGTACAAAAGGTCTACTCTAGAGGACACTGATGGAGAGAGAAGGAACCATTAAGGAGGCTTTTAAGAGAAAGAAAGAAAAAAAAGTAACCTTCACATTCCTGATTGTACAATGATTTTCCCCTTATTGTCCCTTTGCTGCATTTTTCTCCACAGAGCTGCCCAGAAGTTAAATCTGTCTTCCAAAAAGAAGAAGCATAGACCTTCCACTTCTTCTGTTTTGGAAACACCGCTCTTTGCTACCAGCTTCAGTGGGATTCTGCAGGCCTCCCCTCCCCCGGCCCCGCCCTGTCTGCTGAGGGCCATCAACAAGGTGAAGGACACGCCAGGCCTGGGCAAGGTAGGTGCCCTCTGCCGTCTCCGCCATCTGCTCAGTGTGTGAGGTTTGACCAGTCTGGGAACGAAGAAAATGAGGGCTGCAACTCATTAAAATAAGAAGGTGTCAGGGAGAAAAGGAGACGAAATGAAATTGATTTGGAGGTACAGTAGCACCCCCTTGTCTGTGGTTTCACTCTACCATCTAAGTTACCCATGGTCAACGTCAGTCTGAAAATATTAAGTGGAGAATTCTAGAAATAAATCATTCATAAGCTGTAAATAACTTTTGTTACAGTGTATTATCATAGTTGTTTTATCGTTGTTTATCTCTCACTGTGGCTAAGTTATGAGTTAAACTTTATCATATATATGGACAACGCATATATATAAAAGCATATATATGGTTCAGTTCTGTCAGCAGTTTCTGGCATTCACCAAATGTCTTAGAGTATATCCTCCATGAGTAAAGAGAACTAGGTACTGTAAAATTTTCTTTGGTTACATAAACAAAATAGTAAATTAAGACATTCCAATTGCTGAGCTGATTTGATTTTGACAGGGAAAAAAACAGCTTTATAGTGAACTGTGGCCATTTAAAGAAAAAGATGCAAAGAGACAGAGGCAGAGGTGAGAGACCCAGAGAAGACTCAGTGCAGGAGAGAAACAAAGACAACTCGAGATTTCCCTGTGGTGCTTTCATTTCTTTCTCCTTTCCAGAGAAATCACGCTTCCCGCATCTAAACCAGACCTCCAACAGTAGTGCTGGGGAGCATTTCCAGTCACACCTTCCCAGTCAAGAAATGCAATTTGGAATTGTTATAAAGACTTAAAAAGACACTTAGGAACACTGTTATGAGATGTTGCTCAGCTACCTTGGCGATAACTATTTTTAAATGTCATTTACAAACTCTCTTTTCTGAGATAAATGTTTGGGAGAAGTGACTTAAGACTTACTCCTTAATAGATAAATTATCTGGGACTTATGAAAACAGTTAGCTGAAGAAGGAGATGGCAGTTCTATTTTGTATTTTCATTGGAAGTAAGATGGTGCCCACGACTAACTGGGCCACTTGACTCTGGCCTTGGGCTTCCTTTGGGAAGTTGCTGGTCTTGCTGAAGGGAGCAGCGGTTAAGTTGTGCGACTGGAGACTTGGCTGATTCAGATCACTGACTCCCTGTCCCCTTGACACCCAGACATATTCATGCCCCAGTTCACATCTTCACAAGGCCTCAGTCCCTCTGGAGTTGACCCCAGAACCCTGGGCTCCTTCTTTCCTTTGCCTCCTTCCATTCTCCCCGTGCTCAAACTCACCACCCCACTGGGAAGGCCTTAACTTTATCACAATTTTCCCCAAAGTGTTTACATTTTAAGATTAGGTCAAATAGAGTAATCAGTACTCTAGTGGGAAGCATGGCTTCTGGAATTTTCCATGGTGTTAGATGGAGCAGATAGCTGTTGGCTGATGGTTTTCCCAGGCCCGTAGAGAAAGTCAGATCCAGGGCAGTGTCTATAAGGGTGGCTCCATCATCACTGGACACGGGAGCAGATGGAGAAAGCAGGGAAGACCAGCAGTCCTCTCCGGGAGAGGACATGGAGGGTAGAGGCCACTGAGGAAGGGTAGAGGCCCCTGCTGGGCACACGGGGGTGAGAAGGCATGGCTGACATGCTACTGTCTTCGGATGTGGGTCTAAGTAATACAGGGGTTTTATTTTCTTTAATTGTGGTAAAATATGCACAGCATAAAACTGACCATCTTAACTATTTTTAAGTGTGCATGGGCTTTATTTTGTTAAGTTTGGAATGTTGGTGCTGGAGCTGACAGCCTTAGACAAAGGGAAAGCTGATCACTCTCTGTCTCCTGCTCTCAGCTCTAAGCAGTGTCCCACTCCTCTTGTGCATAAGTGTGGAGAAATGCTCACATGATATCCCTTTGAGGAGATAGCAGATTATCAGTTAACTCGGGCACTCATATAACCCAATCTGACCGTGTCCAGGACACCTCACCACATCAGAAACCGCCTTCCTGCATCTCTTACACCGCCTGAAAGCGTGAATGAGGATACAGCTTCAGATGGGCCAGGGCCCCAAGTCCAAGGCCTTCTGTCCCCTTCCTACCCATCCCCTAAGGCTTTCCCTGGAATTCTGAGACAAAGGTATCAGGGCTCCAAGGTCAGGGACCAAAGCAGTGGAAAGAGAGTTTACACCCAGCAGGTTGACCCAGCACTTTCGTAAAAAGAGTTTGGAGGGATAGGGCACTGGTTGCATCTGGATTTCATGATGTATGTATGTAGTGACCAGGTATAAGGGACCTTAACTAAAATCTGCAATCATACATTTGTTTGTTTAAAATTAGAGACTGTCTCTCTCACCCTGGAAGGTCATGGATGAGCCGTTAGCCTGAGGGTCACAGAAGATGGTGAAAGGTATGGCTTCTATCTGACCAGTGGCCACAGGACAACTAAATCCACTCTCCTGTCTGGCTGAGTGCTGGGGGACACTGGTGGGCACAAGTGACAGCCAGAGGGACATGTTCTCGGGAAGATAGTAGTAACTGTACACTTATTATATTAAAATCTGTGCTGTGAGGAAAACAAGATACTACCACGCACACATCTGTTGCTGCTTCGTTCATGGGGAATGCTTGGTTTTCACAATATCGGCACACTTTGACTCTGCCCTATCGTCTGGGTGTCTGACTGGCCCCAGCAAGGCCATCCTCCCCAATTCCTGTTTGTCCACCTCCACTAATATTTCACTATAGTTAGGGACTGCATCTTTCTTTACCCATAGGGAAAATTCCCATCAATTTATCTCTGTTGCATAATTTATATTTTAATAGCTCAAAGAAATACAGTGGAGTTTAATGTAGAACGTCAATAATGGGCACTATTTATAATTGGCATGTTTGAAGTAGCTGAGATTGAGTGAACTGTCCAAAGCAATTTGACTCTTTAACCCTAAGCTTGGGCCTCCTGGAGTTGGAGCGGGGAACAGCAAAGATGCCTCGACATTGGAGGTGGCTGCAGGATGAGAGTCTTTTTACCCAGCCTGGCCTCATCACCCAAGACCTCTCCCCCTGGAAACCTGGGAGGTTTTTGTGGGCATGGAAGGGATTTTATGGGGTTAATTAGAGCAGTCCTCTTATTTAGTGAACAAGAAAATGGAGGCCCAGTGAGGATAAAAGATTTTTCCAGTAGCTCCAGAGTCAGGGTCAGAAATACAGGTTGTTAAGCCATTATATTTTCTCCTGTATGACTGGGCTACCACTAGAGACACATGACCCTTTAAAGTCTTGGGTGGAATGGCCAGGTGTGGTGGCGTGTACCTGTAATCTCAGGTACTCAAGAGGCTGAGGCAGGAGAACTGCGAGTTTGAGGACAGCCTAGGCAATACAGTGAGACCCCATCTCAAAAAAGGAGGGAAGGAAGGGAAGGAAGGGAGGAAAGGAAAGAAGGAAAGAAGGAAGGGAAGTAAGGAAGGAAGAAAAGAAGGGAGGAAGGAAGGGAGGGAAGGAAGGAAGTCTTGGGTGGAGGCAAGAGGATCAGAGGACCATAATGGCAGCAAAATAACACTGGGACCCAGTTGCCTTCGTCCAATGGGGAAGGACACATTTGGCTTCTCAGAGGCATCTCAAGCAGCATGATGGAGACTGGAGATTGTCCTTGCCACCACCTATTCTCCCTCCCTCCTGCTTGTAGCAGTACCCCACTCCTTCTACCTCAAGAGCCATTTCTGCCCATTGAAGTACTTCTCAAAGTAAAAGTTCTGTGGAGGCCATGGAAGACTTTAAGAAAACTTCAGTTTACTTAGAGCAAAAGCATAGCACCCACACAGGACCCACTCAGGACTCTCAGCTTCTAAAGTAGTTCTGATACTCAGCAAATATTTACTGAGCACTGGACATGGTGGCACAGCCTGTAATCCCAGCATTCTGGGAGGCTGAGGCAGGAGGGTTTCAAGTGCAAGCATGGCTGATGCAGTTGAGCAGCTTACATGAACTTGTCTCAGAATGAAAAATGGCTGGGCATGCAGCTCAGTGGAAAGACCCTGGATCTAAATCCCAGTATCTTAAATACTAAATAATAAACAGACAAACGAATACATATTGAATATGGACCATATGTGAGGCCCAGTGCTGGGCAGCAGGTTTGCGATGATGGACAAGTAGGAGTGGTGTCCTTATGGCACTTAGAATAATCCAGTGCCTTCTTCCACTCAAACATAGAATTTCGTCAGTTTCCTCTAATATCAGGGGACAATAGGCTTTAAGGAAAAGTCAGAATTACAGACTTAAAGTGATTCTAACTTTCCCATTGTGCAAAGGAACAATTCTACTATGCGGTCTTATAGAGACATTCTTAATGAGTAGATAAAGATGATTAGTGGATCAAAGCAGCTTAGTCCCAATTTATATTTCATTGATTTGGCTTATATGTAAATGATACCTCTAATCTGTTTGAAAATGGTTCCTTTCCCTAAGTCAGTAAATGCTCTTCATGAAATTTGTTTGCTCAGTTAATTAGCAGCCATGTTTAAGGTTCATTTGTTAGTATGTCACAGCTTAATGTCAGAGCTCTTTTTCTTGGATTTCAAGTTTCTGGAGCAAAGCCCGTTATCTGTTTAACTCCCTAAGTGTATGGCTCTGCAGCCACACCAAGCACACATGAATGCCTTTAAGGGTGAGAATGGTAGTGATCACAATCATATGGGATTGACGACAACACAGCTGTGGTTTGGTTGAGTCTTCTCTTCCCAGAGTATCAGAGAGGAAATACATGAGGCATGAAGGGAAGAGGAGCCTTCTCTTTCTTCATAACCTGCAGAAATGCCTCAAGAGAATGACAGTGAGTGACCCGAGTGGCACCCAGGCCTGTCCCCTAAATGTGTTTGGGGAATGTTGGAAAATTCTTACCAGTGGATTCAGGCAGCAAAGGAACAGGCTCTGCAGAATCTGGAAGGATCATAAACAAGTAGATGGAGCAGATATGAAGAGGACTTGTGGAGAATTAAGCTTGGGACAG